AGTTAATTGTTTCATAGTTTCTCCATGAAGGGGTGATTGTTGAGGCAAATTTAGATTCTGTTGAAACCAGACAAACAGGTGGAACTCGGAACTTTATATACTAGTTTTGATTAAAGATCTACTCACCATAGTTAAAGAGTTAACTATGCAATTAAGTTTCTTTTCTACGCCTACACAATGGTAAAAATCTGCATTCCACCTACAACCTCTAGTACTCTGCTATATGACTTGTTTGTAAAGTTCTTAGCGATTSCATCTGATTGGTCGAGAGTTTCATCAAAGCCGCCATAAATGTAAACAAAAGCTTTGTCCTTTGACATTCATTTAATAACTTTTTAATTCTTTTTAAAACTTGGCCTTTGGTTTTTATACAAAAGCGATGTATTTAAGGGCTTTARTTTTGCTTTGGTGATAAAGTATTTCTTATTAGGTAAAATGGTCCAGTATAATTTCGTCTCTTAAACCATTTATCATGCTATATCAGCATTTTGGATTTAATTTGTACTTGATCAAGATTTAGATCTATGGGTTTTGATCATTTCCTTCTCTATGTACATATCTTTGAGGTTTCATATTCAAACTAGCAAACACAGCTATACAAAAGTGTTTTGTCTTCCTAAAGGTCGCTTTCGTGTAGAAGTTAATGGCCTCTAACTAAAACTGACTTGAAGTCCGCAAAAGTCACCTTRTGTTGACACAGCCATTTACTTCAGATTTACTCCAGCATACAGTACAGTTTCCCGCATTTTCTCTTCATATGCGAAAGTTAAAGTCCTCGAATTGCATTTGCAATTTGCAGCATACCAGTTTGAACGCACGAGACCCGCACATTGATGTGAAATAGCAAAACAAGGCAATTTTGAGGCTTATTTAGTGAACCTAAGTTTTGCTCTAAATCGGGACAAACCAAAATAACAGTAGCTTTGGATGATACAAATTAAATCACAGCAAGATGAAAAGATTTTAGTTCTTTTTGTGATGACAGGCCCTTACTGGCATAGATTTGCGATGATTTTTAGATCAAACTTCATTCTTTTTCGGTAGATCGATAACTGAGTGTCCAAAAGCTCGTATAGTTTTGTTCACCGAAATCTTTAAAAGCTTTAAAACAAGCCAGTTACAAACCTCGAAAACGCTTGTATTAAATGTCATTACGTTATTAGGTTATTAACGTGAGCATTACTAGATAAACTGTGGTCTACTTACTAAAGTTTGTAGCTGAACACCGTGTAGTTGTGCAGAGCTCGAAGGTTCTTGAACAGCTTTCTAAGTTCCCAATGAATGCTACAACTAATTGACATTCAGGTATTTTTTATTTGCACCGGGTTTGTTTACGTAGTCTTACACTCAATCTAACAAAAAACATTCCAAAACTTCAAGGAGCTACCCAGACAATATCACGATTCTCGTTTGAATACCCCAAAGCATGCAATTATTTCGTRGTAAAGTGATTCGTTTTCAAACACAGAGTTTTATGTTATCCGGGGAATAAATTCTCTTGATTTTTAAACGCTTTAAAATTCTTTTTCATGAATGTTATGCTGTGTCAATAATAGTGCTTTTATGACGTACTCCTACGCTAGAAATGTCTCGTTCACTAGGATTACGAGTTGCGGCCGTAATTTTCCATTCACCTCTTTTCCATGAAGGCGCCGGACTTATTTCAAAGGCAGCCGAGGCAAAATTACAATATGCGTCTTTTATAGCTCAATGTCACTTTATTATATTGGAGATTGAGGGTAATAAAAAGAATATAAAATCATTGCTTTTAACACTGAAGAAATGATTTAGTTACAATACAATTGTGCTCGGTTGATGAAATTAAGTTTTTACCCGGCTGTTTCATAGGACGAGATAACTTGAATTTAGTTGTAGCTTTTACACGACAATGAATCACTTAAAAGAGAATTCTAAGATTAATATATACCCAATTAAAACTAGAGTTGTTTTATTATGCATTTTTGGATTAATTTATGCAACCCTTAAAAGATTTTATTGGTGGCCGTGTTGAATTGCACTGGGTGGATTATCACCCAACAAGATAGCTGCCAAAGTCTATTAAGAGCTGTGATATGAAGAAAGTTGTTTCCATGCGCGTACGACATAACTTTATTAGGTTTACATCTTTTAAGTTGTTAAAAGTTAATTAACTCAAAGAAACTTTGATTTTATAACCTCAAAGAAAAATTGAGTTGAAGATGTAACGTTTGACTTACCAAATTTAGATTAACAACCCTTGGCCATTTTTATTTACCGCCTTTTTGGCATATATAGATGGTCATAGATTCTATCGTTTCTTAATGATTACCGCGGTAGAGATTGCTTTCACTTAAGTTTAAAATAATTTATAGATTTTTAATTGATGCTTA